GGAGACCTCTAAATATGCAAACTACTTATAAAGGAATGGTGTCACCATGCTGAGCCACTAAAGGACTTGAAAAATCAACATCTCTACTTGAAAGCCATGGAAATCAAAAACAAGCCACGCACTACTTTCATAGGCATATTTTTCTCCCCAGCCCCCAGCCAGACATAAACATGAAAGTGAAAAATGAGAAAAGTGTAACTTCTATTAGCATTATCTCTGGAAATACCAGGAAAATATATTTTCAATCAGCTCAATTCAGATGTGCATTGTAAATATCTGAACATATTAATTTAACTTAACCTTTACAAAGAACTTTTCCAGCAAATGGATCATATTCACTTTCATGTTTAATATAAACAGACGTTCTATTTTTTAGAAAAAGATGTCTTTCAAAAATTTTTTACATATTCTAACTTCCCAAGGTTAGATTTAGCTATTTACAGACTGCTGATTTTTCTTTCAGACACAATCCTGAAACAAGTCTTCCTATGGAGGACCCATATGTTTGTGCTAATCCAATTAAGGAAATTAATATAAACTATTAATACAGAATAAAGATGGTAAAAAGTTACATTTCAATAATCATTGTTCATATGAAGACTCATGCTGCACTACAGAAAAATTTGTAACAATTTCAAAGGGACCCTAAGCTCTCATTTCTTTTATGTCTCTGCTGTTGTTCTGANAGTCTAGCATAGATCCAGAAACCCATTATTTTAAGTTTTCCCATGTAATTCAGAAACAGAGACTGATTTAGGAACTACTCACCTAAAGACCTAGAATGTCATTTTATAAAGCCATAAGTTTATAAAAGTAGAAGGAACCTTGGCAGATCTAAACAACAAAAGGTTTGTGAATATGTCCAACCACTAAAGTTTTTAAAAAGTCATCCTTTCACTATTGTTATTGCTGTGACAACTTCAGGATAATGAAATTAAAGAGTATATGGAAAAAAAGATTCCAGAATCACCAACACACATGCCACTTATTTTTGTCAATACTGCTAATATTGTCCAAAAAGAAAAAGGTGGGGAAAGGAAGTTATTACAAACTCAAAAGCAGAAATACAGTTTTCCATAGATCAACTTGACTTTTTCTTAACATTTAAATACTGCTNAGCAGAGATTAGTGTGAGGGTCTGAGTGGCCTGGGTGGGAAAGACCCACCCTCAATGTGGGCGGTAACCATCCAATCTGCTGGGGGTCCAGAGAGAACAAAAGACACAGAAAAGAGGTGAATCTCCCGATCTGCTGGAGCTGGGATACACTCTTCTCTCCTGTCCCTGGACATCAGAGCTCGAGACGCTTCAGCTTTTGGGTTCCAGGACTTACACCAAGGACACCATCAGTTTCCCTGGTTTTGAGGCCTTTGGACTTGGACTGAACCACGCTACTGGCATCCGGTTTATAGACGGCCTATCGTGGGACTTTTCTTCACAGTCACATGAGCTGATTCCCCTAATAAATCCCTCTCATAT